AGGGTGCCAAATTATTATCAAGGGATAAAATGTACATTAAATTCTGTCTCCAGCTCTCGTATGAAGTTACGGTTTCGTTCTTGGAAAGCTGCCAATTGTTTTAGCGCGCGAACGGCGGCCATGTTTGTTAAGAAAGTGCACGGAAAATTTTAGCTCAAGAATAGCTAACCTTTATAGCTAATTCGGTCTTCTCGCTTAAGGATGGTAAATGTACCAGCCGTCGAGGGGCGAATACGTTGTGAACCGCTGTCACCACGCCAATATAGTAAGTGACGTCCGGGTTTACCAGGAGAAGCGATTATAAAGCGTGCTTTATTAACGTAACAACAACCAGGGCGATTATGTAAACATGAAGTAGGTAACTATGTGAAGCGGATTAAACCGCTGGCATAGGAACTGGAGCGAAGCAATCGTGTAAACATATCAAATGCAACATATCAAAATCTAAGTTAGCCCTTTCTATATTCAATAGGGTTTATTCTAGCACTACAGCTTTTTATGTTGTATGATTTCAAACATGTAACTTTTTTTTTCGGGACACCCAGCCGGTAGAATGTTTTTATATATAGAGCTCTCTGATAGACTGATAGCTACTGTTTTGGAGAAGAAGAAATTGAAGAATCTAAGTCTAACACATGCACAGGCGTAATATATTATTAATGCGTCATATGTTTACACTACATATTTTGAATGATGAAAACCAAAGATGACAAAAAACGTTTTGTTCATTTATTCAATTACTCGACCGATTCCACTCTCCAAAAATGAAAGGGCGGTTTGCTAGATGGAAATAGTGCTAACCAATTAGCTAATTGCGCTAATAAAGGATCACAAAATAAATTATAAAGTTTTATAACGCGTGAATGGAAGCTATGAATATGGATTTATTAAAACGTTAGACTATTGCTGTGTGTCCTTGGGAATATCAAGCTATAGGCACAATGTAGATCTCACTATTTCACCTAACTGCAGTCCTTCGCGTTTCTAATGCGCGGGGTTTTACACATTTAACATTTTACAGATTTTACAATGCCTCGCCCCGAGCTTGATGCTGTGTTTTTACGCCTTTTGGACAAGCCTTTGACTTGGTTTACCATGTTACCCATGGAAATATCTAAGCCTGGAACAGCTACGTTCAGACCGGTAAATTCATTCATCCTAAGTTAAATTAACCGTCCAAAATTGAGAGAACGATATAGTATATTCAAAAAACTCTATAGATAATAGCCAAAGAAAATCATTATATCTTAAATATACCCGATTCTGTCATAGGCCGAAACCACTGAAAAGCACTTGTCATTTAACACCCCACTGCGGATGCGACTTTTATCAAATTAAACTGTTATTTATATGAATCGGACATGTCACTGACCTATGAAAGCTCGTTATTCTTATCATCATTCTTTACCGTGTTGTGTCGCCATGTAAATTTTCCATATAATGTTGTCTTTTCTGAAGTTTTTGTAAGCAAGGAAGAACAGAAAAACCTGAGAATTAGTAATTTCTCTTCAACGGTATTAGGACGCGAATTCTAGGACGCAGTTTTTCGCGACGCTACCGGAAGTAAATCTGTAGGTATTGATTATACGCGTGTATTCTTTTTTCGTGAAGTTTTTCTCTACCACTGCGCTATTTTGCAATTTTTACTTCGTCGTAGATTTTTTAAAAGAGCCATAAATAAACAGGCAAGGAACAAAAATGTTCTATTACTATTGACTACTGTCATGTTTTATTTGCTCCCGAACAAATAAGGGATGTCTCAGTCTGAATAGCTAATTGTTACCCGTTTCATAACAGGTGGCGTATATGTCTAGGCCGACAAAAACATCACTTGCCAAAAGAAGACCGCATATATATTTTACCTGAAATAAAGTAAAGACGGATGAAAATTTGGCGACGAAGATAAATTATGCATATATTTTGAGCAATTGCTATAGGCATCGGCCCTCTTTGAATGTAATCAAAGAAGAAAATTTAAATGACAAATTTTTGATAAATTTCGATGATAAGATTAAGTAGAAATTTATAAATTTTATTCTCCCCTCCCTACACCTCCTTATTGACCGACAGTGAGATCCGTACAGTGAAATATCAATCCGAGGCTTTTTAGTATGCAAAAAAACATGCAAAAAACCTCGGTTTGATATTTCACAGAACAGACCGAACAAGTGAGGTCAATAATCTATGTATTTATTAACTGATTATTCGGTCTTTACTGTGAGATATCGGACCGTGGCTTTTCGAAAGCCCAAATCATGCCCAGAACCTCGGTCTGATATTTCACGGAACAGAACGAACACGCGAGGTCAATAATCCGTTTATCACACGGCTGATGAATAAGCTGAACCACATGAGGCACCCGGAATACCTGTCCAGATACGAAATACACGGACCACGGTCCTCATATGGGATTTTTCGACTCGCTCGTCAACCAAAAGATGAACTTTACTGGATTTTTCATTGTCGGAAACGCTCACCTTAAACGTACGCGTCAAAGTAAGGGACTATATTTATGAGCTTGAAAAACGCCTATACTTTAAAATGCTGTAATAACTATTCTGTAACTGAAACATTCGATATCGCCGAACACTTAGTGTGCTAACAAGTCCATTTTAATATAATGAAACATTATACCCATTTTAATATAATTAAAAAGGTGTTTGCCACTTCGAATACTTCATATATATTTAGTGAGAGAGATGTTCTCTCCACAACAATGAAAGAGTTGATGAGGTCGCGCGTGGAAATATTCACTGCGTCTTTGTTTTCTTCTTTTCACAATCAAATTTGAAAGTTTTAAAAAATCTATCGAGACGAAATTTTTGAAAAATAAAAACGTAGACTGGACTGGTCTGGACTGGACTGGGCTGGACTGGGTTGGACTGGGCAGGGCTGGGCTGGACTGGGCTGGGCTGGTCCATATTTTGTTCCTCTGATCTCAAAATTGGACTCAAAACTGGACTGCAATAGCCTACATCATAGACCATACTCGGTTTTCTCGTATTGCAACTGCATGGAGCCCAAAACGGAAAATGTTATTTATTTACCACGCTTTCAGACTTTATTATCATTACAGTCAGATTCAGAAATTGACGCATCCATCTTGACACTCTTGCAATTGTTCATTTAATTAATAGAACACAACAGAAAAACAAGCCATCTGCGTAGCATGAGTGCGCCTGCCAGGTCATATAATAATCATTCCACGAAGTAAATATAACACTGTAGAGGGTAAACACTGAAAACGAGGTCGATATAAAACCTCTTTGTTTCATACGAATACTGTATATGTGCCAAGTTTTAATAATAAGTTTAAAATGAAAAGCAAATTATCACCACATAATATATTGTCACATGTACAAGCCTCGATTGAACCGAAAAAGTTGAACAGAAAGTAACAGAAATTGAACAGAAAGTAACATTGTTTTTAACTTGAAAACAATGTTACTTGAAACCGAAAGGCCACGATGATAGAAGTGTAGTTTATGGCGGACTCCGTGGCGGATGCTGTTCGTATTACATGATACCTCGAACACATTGTGTTTTGATATCTTTGGGACCAAGAAAGCGAAAGCTAGGGTCGCAAAATCTTCTATACTCCTTATTTACGTACGCATTTTTTTTTTTGGAAAAATAGCGAAAAAAAATTACTAAGGGTTGTTGACGGTAATAACCACCTTAATCACGTGCTGCGCACCTGGACATGCCACTTTTAGACTGCTTCTCCCTTTTGAAATTATGACTTTTATGAATGCATATTTCGTTATTTACCTTTTTTTGTTTTACTTTAAGTGGTAAATAATAAAAAACTTATTAACCGAGACCTCAGAAAACATTTAAGACTTATTGATGGATCACCTCGGGAAACATCATGTTTTGTGGACCTGAGGCCATTAATGTTTCCCAAGTCGAAGTGTCTTAATATATAGCAACTTTCAAAGGAAACAACGGGTGAAAATACGCGACAAAACGTAGGCAAAACTAACAGAGAAACTTTTCCTATTAAAAAGAATCCGGCTGAGGTTCAAAGGTGATATGTCGCTTGATTTGACGTGGCATCACGACTTCCGGTTTTGTTAACCCCCGGTGCTTAAAAGTGTTAAGCCCCTATCGAACTGGTTCAAACCTGACAAACAAGATTTTGCGGTAAACATTCGGATTTCCCGCCTTTCACGTGACGTAGTTTTAACCAATCAGCTCTGGAACAGATTAACTTTGAAACTTGCTTATATAATAATATAACTCGGCTTCGCCACGTGAAATATCACGGGTCTCTGGTCCACAAAACAAAGTATTTCCTTCAGTAAAGACTGCAATAAAAAAAAGTAAACGGCACTAAAGTGCCACCGAATTTTGGTATATAATAGAAAGATAAATACTTTAGCATATATAGGTTGAGATAAATGGCGCACGCTGATTCGTTGATTAGCTTTCTTGAAAAAATCATCCTGCCCTCTCAAAAATTCATTTTGTCCGTTTGGAAAAAGTTTAATTGTACAAATTTAATCAAAAACTAATTATAAAAGATTATTATACCGTACAGCGACGACAAAGGACAGTCCCCGAATGAGTTTTAATATCCTGAAGAAACAAATCACCCAAGGCGAAGATATAAACCGCCAATATACGCAGCTCAAAGGTGTAGCAGCGAAGGGTTACAAAATCTGAATTGAAAAATCGCTATATAATTTTAACAAAGCCATATAATAAATTCCTTATTAACCCTGTTTGCTCGAAAGTATTCCCTTCTGTTTTATCTCACAGATCACGCTCCTTTGTTGCTCGATCTGTACGAAAACCTCAGGGATGACTTTCCCGTACAGACCTCACACTCGGTTAATAAGTCACATCTTATTCATATTTATGATTTCAAGTCCTTATATATATATTATATAGAAGGACTATAACATGCTGAAATTTGAGGGCTTGGAATGTAAGAAAAACAATGCAAATTTTTTTTAAATTTAATAATTAAAAATTCAAAAGAGATTTTATCCCGTGTATATTACTGTATATAAATTTAAATCAGTAAACGCAATATGGTATATATGCACGACATTGTCGAGGCTGGATTTTCTTTTATGGATATAAAGTTAAAATAATCTAGATCTGTTATACCACAATAAAAATCATCCACTACAAGCAAATATTGTACGTTATCTTAAGTGATATTATTGGACCATTTCTAACGATTTTAAATAAAATAGACATGGTAGTACTTCTATAGCAATAAGGTGGCACCAAGCAGTTTTACGGTAATTTCTCATCCAATTTTTGAGCAAAACAGATTTGTTTTTCGTCATTCGTCACTACATTGTACTGCACGACGCCAGATATTATAATAAGATTGTCCAAAAGTAAATCATCTGCATAGTTCTCATCCCACCAAGCCCCCACTGTCGTCACACCACTGCCTTGGTAACTTCGTTTCCCTTCTTCGCACTTGTGTTCGTCGCCATTTATATATATACACCTTAAAAAACGCGCATTCACATGTTTCATACAAGAACTAAGTTCTGTCGTGCTATAATAATATCGTAGCTATTGCCGGGCAAAAAACGAATTCTTATAATAAATATGAGAGTCCTATATAGCTATAATTTTTAAGATATCCATCAAAATAATTAGGATTTTTAAAAAATTACGGCTTTAGTTAATTGATATAATGTTACATAAGATTATATTTATGTAAAAAATACTTACAAGATGTTACATTACAAAGACTAAGAATGGGATGCTTCATACAGTTTTAACATTATGCACTTAACCAATTTAAAATAGCCTATCACGTAACTGACTATAAAGGGAGCAGCACACGACGGCGAGAAGTTTAGATTTACGAGATTCGTAAATCTAAAGAAATCTAGTTTGTTAAATTGTTACATCTAAACATAACATAAACATAAAAAAATTACTCTTGCCTCTTTGAAGAGGTTATAGAGGTAACAATCATTTGAATTGCCTTGACACAGTCACAGCTGATTTTTTAGAAAAGAATGATTGTTATGGCATATACACTTTAAAGCGTAAACAAACGCGTTTGGCACTCAGGTTTAATGATAACTTGCAAGTGCTATATATATAACACAACAAATTTCTTAGCTAGCATACAACAAGTAATAAGCATATACCGTTTTTCTTGCCCACTTTGATCCTTCTGAGAAGTCCAAGTAATATGATACCATTTTTCTTCTTCTACTGTTCCAAATGTGATATCGTTGCTATAATAGCCATGAATCACAGTCTACAGTAAAAGAGTTGGATGAAAGCACGGCGTAAACTACCAAAGCTGTTCGATGCAATGCAATCTATTGAGTGTTGCCTTTTAGATGATGCCATTATTTTACAATTTACGCCACAACGTTTCTGAATGCTCAAAAGTTTAATTGCTTTATTAGGAACACACTGGAATTCCTTTTTCTAATCCGTACTATGGAAATGTTCTATTTATATTGACAACCAACATCAAAATAAACTCCTCTCATTTGCTAGAGAAAGGGGCCGTGTGGTTAAGTTTGTGACTGAATCTCTCATCATCTATACGCGTATTGGAAAGTGAGTTAAAAGCACCACATTTTCAATATTGTACGAGTGTTACCTTTTTCGAATGTCGTAGGAGCGGAAGATTATAATCAGTATGAACCCCCCATTCGATGGTATATTTTCAACATATCTCATTTAAATGCATGAAAAAGTATGTGAATATATTTACATTGAATGACATTTCCTGTACAAATCAATAAATTTACACATATTCCGCTTTAAACAGTTCGACTCCAAACAAAATACACCGTACAGTTTTTCACTTTAAACAGTTTGACTCCATTTTGAAATATTAATTTACGCTTTTTTGTGAGAAGTGAGACATTTGCATGGATTTTAATCTGTGAAATACTTTTTCTGTTCATATATCCATATATAGTATGGAAATAGCATTTAGTATGGGTAGAATATAAGCTCTCATGCTCTATTTTCAACTGGCATCCACACTATTTCCGTAATATGGGTTCTGAAAAATTAATTCTTTACTGAAAAAGGCACGCCACAAATCTTAAACCCACTTTACATCTCTACAGCTAAGTATAATTTCTTCCTAATCTCGACGTTAAGCTCAGTTTTCACGTTTACTGGATAACAATGTATACTGCGCCTCCAAAATACTTTTTAAAAGATCTTTAAGATCTTTACTGTGAGAAAACACTTAGTTTGAAAGAATTAAGCCATATTGCATAAGTCACACACACCCTATATAGGTATTCATTTTCTTATATTCAAACCCGCTACTTCCATTTACCTTTTTATTTCCGGCATCGTCGCTGACTGCAATGCCCAAGTGCAACCCTTTGTTGTCAGATGTTGAACCATGACCCAGCACCCTGACAAACTTCTCATAAATATTTTTGTACCTTAGTAAAGCCATGACTGACCAGTTGCTATTCCTCCAGAAATCATCAGAGATACCAGAAACATTCAAACGGTTTCCGTTCCCAGGAAACAGCGCGGCTTGTCTCATTACAGCCTCTTTGTACGTTAGGTTGAAATTATCCGGTGAAATATCTGAAGAAAACAGTAGATGCATGACATTAAGGCAGAAGTATCCGGTTATTTAGACAAAACATCGCTTTAAAAGACCCAATTCGAAACCAACACTACACAAATTGTAACTTGTAACTGTGTCTCCCCACACGAGGGGGATCATGTCCCAAAGGCGTGGCACCTGGTGTTCCCAGGGGTGTACGAGGTGGAATGGTGTGGGAGTGTAGCAGTTCTCCTCTCCGCACTTGATTGTTAATGCTCGGGTATTCAAACAAAAGTGTTAGGTAATTCTTATGCTACAAAGCAAAAAACTTTTATGCATTCATCCACTCGTCTTCCGTGGTATTACTGTGGACTAATTAATATAGGTCAAGTCCAGTCAGGCCTCCAAATCTTTTATTTCGCTAAATTATATAGCTAATTTGACATATTTAAGTGAATTTAGTCTGACGCCAATTTCTGTAACTGTAAGAATTGTATATAAACCGCTGCATGCATTATGCTGTTGACATTGCAAAAATTAATTATTGTTGTAAATCGTAGCACACATTGTATTTTCTCGATTATTCCCAAACATTTTTGCCGGAACATTTTCGATATCTTGAGTCTTCGAATTTAAAGTGCGCAAACCTTTTTACCTGAGAGCTAAACTTCGCTGTGGGAACAATTACTTACATAAAACATTGCATGAGTGAAATAATAAAACGAAGCATGGAGACATAAACCTATATCTCATTTACTCTAACAAATTACCCTGTAGTCCAGCTGTTAACGACCAAAAAAATGCTGAATTGTTCACTTTGATGATAAAAGCATGAAACTTTGCCACACTACGATAATCCATAGCACTAACATTTTTGGATATGGAGCCAGCCCAAATTCACTTACGCTGACGAGTAATGCGCATGCCATAGAACACCCAATATGGAAACGAGGCTGCTTTAATAACCCTAGTTTGAACCATTTCTTTAAAGATTTTTTTTCGTAAATTTTTCTCACATTAATACATCAGCCTGTTCTTCACTCTGACTGAATGTACCAAATGGAAAAGAAGCAAATCGGTAAAAAGGAGCAAATTTGTCAAATGAATATAATACAACATGAAAATAATACACCATACTTATACGTCACAATTTTTCTTACGGTCTCTCTGTCAACTTTTTCTAAAAATCTGCTCATATTTCCTCAAAAAACTCATGGGCAGAGAAAATAGTAATAAACAAATATAATGATTCTATCAATTGTGACCGGTGAAGGGAAACCACTACGGTCGAGTTTTCTTATATGAAAAGAGTATCAGACGAAAAATTTCGTTCGGTCGAAAAATTCCGTCTGGTGAAAAAACGCCCTTAAATCTAACTGAATATGAAAAGAAAATTTTATCACGTTGGCTTTATTGCTTTTAGACTTTTCTTGCATGAAAATAAGGGTAATGAGATAGTTGTATCGGAATGAAAGGCGATTCACAATTACGGGTGCTCCGTCAGTGGGGGCGAAGCGGGCTTTTTTTATTCACGCACGTCACATTCCTATGGGCAGATTTTCAAAGTCCGTTTCGACCGCGCAGGTGAAGCGGACGGTAATAGAGAATCGCCTTTAACTCCCGGGAGCGTGCCATTCACGCGCTCTTGTGAAATAATTAAAAACGTTTCTTAACATACGCACAAGTTCATAATCATTTAGAAGCGCGTAGCAAACTTAAATGTTGTTAGATATTCAGTAGAACTCAAAATACAAACTGTTATTGTATAGTACAAAACAAACATTGCGAGACGGGATTTAACGTGGATATAATTTAGGTTCACATATTCTTCAGCTATCGTCGTGGTCACATTTTCGGATAACGCCTGGGTACGAAATTCGCTGATTGTTTAAAATATATGTCGCGCCAAAAAATGACTGTTAAAAGATACACACCAAGTAGCCGAAGAGTTGCAGTACTAATATATGTATTTTATTGTTAGGGGTTTAATCAAATGTCTCCAAAAATATTTAAAGTGGAAGTCAAGTACTTTCTAGGAATCTGTTTTTGCTCAATGGTAGGTCTCCACAAAGCAAAACACAAAATATTTAAACGATTTTCAAACAATTAAGAGATACAACATAGAGAGGCGAAGCTACATACCCACATTTCCAAGTTTTTCAAAATGACGAAATGCCAAAAAGCCTGTGATCAGGCTTTTTGAAGAAAATTTTCTCAAGTTCAAATGACCCGTTGACACCACGGTCTTTTTCTCTTAGAAAAAACGTGGGTACGAGTCTGCACTATAGATTCATTACTTTTTACCTGCTGTAATATTGAAATTGCCTCGGACATTTGGAACACTATTTCCGTTGAATTGAAACAATATACCACGGTCTGCATTAAGAAAAGCTTTGTAGTTTGTTTCTGGTACGTTTTTCACGCCTTGGTTGCCGCAACCTAAAGGAGGCTCGTAAGAAAAAGATTGCCATCCTTCAGTCGTGCATAGCTGAAGTCTTCGTGAAGAATATCGCAGAACACCAAAAGTTGAGCGGTTACATCTATATATTGGTACAGTAAAATAGAAATTCAACTTATCGCCAGTATGGAAATGTTAGTGATTACATTATTAAAGACTTTTCACACGATCTAATTTCGTTGGACCCAAGGGACGACAGGCACATGGTAATTTCTTGCCTCGGTAATAAAAGGGATATTTTCTGAAAGAGCTTAATAAAATTAGTAAAACTGCTGAGTTTGGCTGCGAATTGTTGTAAGTTACGAAAAATATAGCCATGCAAAGTTCACATATCTTGTTTACTTTTGTATTACGACCCTAAGTGTGTAACTAATTTAGTTACACATTTCCGCGCGTAATACAAAAGAATACAAAATTTGCCAACTTCGCATGGCTATATTTTTCGTACAAAATTTCGAAGCCAAACTTTTCATTCGCACATTGCACTAATTTAAGTAAGATCTTTCTAGCTGTGATGACTATTTTTCCCACTAAATGATGATATTAGTGGAAAAGTTAATGGCCGAAAATACATTTGAATAATGAATGTATAATCACCAGTGGTGATTATACATTCATTATTCAAATGTATTTTCGGCCATTAACTTTTCCATTCACCACACAAAAATTAAATTCACGACACTGTGGTCTAGTGTCTTCATCAGGGGTGGGGTGACAGTGAGGTTGGTCATCTTACGAAAACGTACGTAATTTGAACATCCGCGTGTCAAAACAATTTTTCAGGATTTGCTTAATAAGCAAAATCCTTTACGCAGGGCTTCCATAATTTATTTGCATATTGCTCTCCTCACACAGGGATGGGATTGGTGAACAGAGAGAAAAAAAGAACTTTTGAAAAGAATGTATAATTTATGACGATTAATAATGATATTTTGTATTGTGCATGCATTATAAAAAGTATATGATATCGATTTTTTATTAATAATGACCCTCTCCCCCATAGTGGAGCACTTTTCTAAGAAAATTTTCGTAGAAATGGAAACCCTGCCTTTATGTCATCGTCTGTGTAAGATAGATAGATAGATAGTAAGAATGTGACGTAACTACGAGGCTATGAGGATGGGGACTACGTAACTACGAGGCTATGACTATGAGGACTCAAAAAATCGCGAACCGTCGGAAACTATTATCCGCCATTACCGTTGAATCAGTTTGTATGAATATTTGCGATCTTTTGGGCAAACAAATACCGCTTATTTTCGTAAATGCACGAACAACTAAAGATTTAGCCAATTTTTTAGAGCTAAGCGAAGGGATAAATGGCTATTTTGTGCTGGGAATACAAGTGGGAAAGGTCCTAAAAGCCAAATTCGCTAAACCAAAGGAGTGGGATTTTATACAAAATTGAAGGTGGTGTCTCCACTTAATAATTCCATTTTTCACTCATGGAACTTTAGAAAATATAATTGCTGCTAGCGGAAGCATTGAATACACACTGCATTTGTCTTTAAAAACGCTAAAATATCTTCAACAATTTTAATATAACTGAAGAATACAAGCAGGTTAAACGTTGAGGAAATAGCTTTAAATGTGCGGGAATTGGTTTTATATATTATTATATAACTATCACTGCGCCATATGTGCCCGTGCGCAGGCGACCATAACATTGGGCTGCCTATGTTCATGCAATCGCCATTCGCAATAAACAAAACATTGGTATGCGTTTTGCAAATCCTTATGCACTCTTTGAGTGCCTATTTTTCTAATAAAGAATCCTAACAATCCTTTGTATGACGTAACACGAGATTTCAAATACGAAGACTGGCTTGTTCAAATTAGGTAATTTTGAAGAAAAGTGGTGGGACTCCTTAAAGGCCCGGTCATGCACCTCGCTAAATGGCACACAGAATCAGATAGCTAACCGATCATGATGCTAGAAATAGGCAGATAGAAATCAGTCCGGGCACCCCTGAAATCAGTCCGGGCACCCCTGAAATCAGTCGATATAAAGGGCCAAAATGTCTTATAAGCCAATGAAATGAGCAGGCAGGTAATTTTTTCGACGTATAGGTGACGCCACTACCGACCCTGTGCTTACCGAGACCTTTTCTATTTTTGCTTCTGGTTTAATTAGAAATATTTATTTTATAATTCCAGAGATTTTCGCAGTGACTTACTGTAAAGTTTCCTTTCCTACACGAAATATCTCTGGTGTGTCAGACTTAGCACCTTTCTCTCCTTTAACTCCAGGAGCTCCTTGCGTTCCATTGACACCCTTTTCCCCAACAGTTCCATTGAGTCCAGGCAAACCCTGAGCTCCCTTTTCTCCTTGAAAACCACGCTCTCCTTTCGGGCCAGTTATACCATCAGAACCGTTTCTCCCCTCACGCCCAATAGCTCCTGGTGGGCCAGGTGGGCCCTGTTTTCCTTTTACGCCTGCGGTTCCATTGCATCCCGAAGAACACCCCTCTCCTCTTTCCCCTTTCTAAAAGCAAAACATTGATCTGAGTAGAGTATTATATACGTATTTGTTTTTGTAAAAATAAGCTAAATCTATGGTTATAAGTAAGCTAAATCTAGTATACTAATTTCATTCTAAAATGTGTGCAGGAAACTACCAACAATATATTGTCCAAACAAATCGTACACGATGAATGAAACAAAATAATAACCACACTGAAACATGCTGTTTTTGGCCGGTTAAATACGGTGCATTTAATGTTTTGCTTATATTTTGTTAAAAGTGCAGTGGCGCCATGGTGATATAATGACATATAATAACCACGATGTGCATAATCCTGGTCAAGTTTCCAGCTATTATTTGGTGGAGAGACTCTATAAATTAACGATTTCGCGTCACTGAAAGAAAGAACGAATTTTAAAGGGAATTAAACAATATTTTTTCACTGGCTTAGACAATCAACCTTTTTCAAATATAAATTAATTGTCACGTTGGGCTTCCTTGTCCAAACAATAGGGAGATTTAGCACGAGGACATGAACGTCAAAGAGGACGTGTAAATGGTGAATAACTGGAGTTAATCATGGGCCTATAGATTAGCTATTTTCTCGTCGTCTTTGACGTTCACGTGCTTGTGTTAATTAACTAACTATCACCATCAGTGTGTGTAATTTTTGAATTCCATATTTAGGACCGCAGAGGCCACGTCTTTAACATGGAATAAAATATTTTTAACGAGGGTTAACCAGACTAGAAAAGGGTATGCATTTTCTATCGACCCCGTATTTCCTCCAACCCCGCATTTTCTTTCGACCACGCATTTTCTACTGACCCCCTTATCCCTGATCCCGCATCACGCGCCCTGCATATTCTACTAAACCGAAATAAACAAGCTGAATTTTACTAAATGTGTCAATCATCTGCGTTAATTACTAAAAATAGCAAAGTAAGAGAAAGACACTTTTGACCACTTTTTCCTCAGACCTGTGTCCTGTGTTCAGGCTATGGAATATCAAGAACACAAGATAGACGTCTATCTTTGCAATCTGTTTTATTTTGTATCATTACTTTAAAATTAATGCCAAAACGTTTTCAATCGATTGTTAAATTTTTTTGTCTATCCGTCGTGCACATTTTTGCCTTTGCTTAATTAACCTATATTTTATCAATGGGCATGTTAAGTTAAGCTGAAATTAGGATTTTCGGCCTTAGTTTTATAGCTTGAATAGGGGGGCTAAAAATGTGCCATCACTGTACCACTGTTTATCGTTACCTGTGCTCGAATGTGCTGGAAAATGCGTGATGCTGATTTGCCATAAGAATAATTACATCTTATTGACAGATGACGTCGGGTTGAACGTATAATTATAAGGTATAAGATCAGCCCTAAAGAATCCACTAGACCGGATTGTTCAAACGTTGGGAGGTAAATGTAATCTTTGTTTGCTGACTACGTTCATTATTTAAAACCAGAGTAGCGATCATGGTGAATGATTAAATACCCGGTTGCTGTAACATAAAAACGCCAATTCGTTACTCATTTGTTGTTCATTGCACAAGCTTTTAATCAATTTTCCACACCAAAATCTTTGTACATATAGACACAGTGAAACTATTTTAGTTAATTGCGGTCTAATTCACGTATTCTAACATAAACAAATGTAACTGATAATAAAACAGTCGAGAAATTCAGACTTTGTTTTCAAGTCGATCCATTTGATGCTATGCCTGCAAATAGGTTAAACCTATTATGCGTCTTAATTTCGAGTGGAATTATACACACTTCGTGTGAAGTGCCAAAAATCATAACCGATTAAGCTAAACCTATTATTATGTAATTTTTGGTTATTATACTCACATCACCCTTATCCCCCATTTCTCCTTTTGCCCCAATTTCTCCTTTTACTCCTGAGGTTCCATTAGTCCCTGGAGGTCCTTTCTCTCCTTTCTCCCCTTTGGCTTTTAAAACATTCTGAAAATGCACATTAGATATCGATTAAGCTACATTTTTTTGTTGTCTCATTTCAAACAACTCCAAATATAATCTTTAAGATCCCTCTTACAGAGGTGTCGTAGTTTGCTTGGTTATTGTAATATTTTGACCGAAGGAAGTAACCTGTCCGCCATTTTGCAACACTCAGAATATGCATGCATAATGCCGTCAGGTGTTAGGTGTCTGATCTTGCCAGCCAGTTATTAATATGAACTTGTTGTGGGTGTCATTTCAACTTCCTAATGAATAGGAAAATTTCGAACAATTTATGATTCTTACTCGCTAAATTATAAAGATAATTTTATGTAGAGCCAACCCCACACCTGGCGTCATCAAAACGAAAGCTAATGATGAGTTAAGGCATAGGCAGCCCAATGGCGACTCGCGTGTTCAGGCAATGTAGGCATTATATAGTATATATATATATATATATATATATATATATATATATATATATATATATATATATATATATATATATATATATATATATATATATATATATATATATATCCTATGGTAGGCAACTTCAATCCCGATATCGACATGGACACATGCAAACAATCCGAAAATGCTTCAATTTATCCCTAAAACTAAGCTAAAATAACAGCAGAAATGAAATCTACGATAATTTTACCACATACTGGCTATATTTTAATATTGAAAACAAGTTATGGAAGCAAGAAAAATGCGAAAAGCTTTTGATATTTTACTCATTTTTTGAATGGGCCGATGCTGGACCCGCGCTGTTGACTTTTGAGAACGTTGAAAATGACGAGTTTGTAATCTGATTGGCTCTCACAACAGCGAGAACAAAAAGCAGTTTCCTATGGTTAAGGTTTAATCAAAGATGGCCGACAATTCTTGGCATGCAACTCGTGGCCCGTGGCTTTTAGCAATAATATTACAAGAACTAAGTGAAAAAAAATTTTTGTATCGAAATTCACCGTTTTTGTGTGTAATTTAATCCGTAAATATACTAAAAGGTAGCTGTTTTTAGGGATTTGCTTATATCTAAGCAAAATGCTTTATGTCATCGTTTGTGTAAGATAGATAGTAAGAATTTGACGTAAAACGATATCTTCCGACGTCAAAAAATTCCCGATTACAGTTTGTCAGTTTGTGGATATTTGCGATCTTCCGGGCTAAACAATTCCACTAATTTTCGTAAAATCTAAAAACATCTATAGGCAATTGTTTTGAGCTAATTAATTACGGAATAAATGTCTATTTTCATTTTTGGGCTGGAAATACAAGCGGAAAAGTTCTTAAAAGCCAAATTGGCTCAACCAAGGAGCGGTGTTAAAAAATGAAATTGAAGATGGTGTTTCCATTTATTCCGAAAAATATAGGAATACCTATTGTTCTTTTATATTTCAGGCAGTGATTAATCAATTTAAAGTTGCAGTAGATTAATAATGAAATAACAACAACAATAATGAAACAACTGACGTCATGTTGGGCTTTTTTACACCACATTTTTGGCAATATATTTCCATATCTTTCTTGCATTATAAACTGACAAAAATTGCAAATCCTTAACGGCACTCCTTTTCTTACACTGATATTATATTCTCCATACATTTTGTTCAACAAATGCTATAAGACGTTTGAAATTAGGCAAAAGGATTTGAAAGGTGCTATAATCCAAAACGATTTGTCGAGGTATGAATTTGTGCCAAATTAAAGCTTGCATAAACACAGGGAAAAGTATGTGTCATCAGGTAATCATTTGAAATTAAAGGTATTATCAGTTTAATCGCGCTCAGTAGAATATTAGCTACAATTGTTCCTTGTTCGCTGCGGCATAACTCATGACAGTATTATTGTGTTATTGTCCCCCAGGCGATAAAACTGTATGACACTGTACCTTAATGGATTTATTAGGACGTATCTTACCAGTTCTTGTCCGGCGACGATAACTTTTCCTCCTGGATTTGGATGTTCAAACACGATATTTCCATCGTCTCCTGAACGAATGTGGAGACTTCCATCTTTGGTGAAGATTTTTGGATCATTCCTTCCTTCTAAATTATATATAAAACGTATATAGAATGAATATATAGAAATGCATAAATAACAAATTATAATAAGAGTTACAAGTTCACTTTTTCACCATTTTTGCTCAGGGTATATAGAAAAGTAATGAATATATTAATATAGTTCGGTTAATTTTGTACAAGGGAAATGCTGCACATGCACAAAAAGCGCGACAGAGAAGGAATCAAGTCTTACGTTTCTATATATTTCCTGGCAAACAAATAAAACTGTTTGGACTGAAACTTTTGAGAGATGTATATTTGACAATGAATTTGCAATAATATTGTTGTCAGAACTCGTTGCATTTGGCCCACGTATGATATTGTGTTCTTACAAGACATCACAATTATCAAAAGTACACAATTTCATTTTTTTAATTTGCATACGAGGCTAAATCGGCCTATTCACGGACTTCAAAGTTATAATTGAAGACTGTATGTGATGACTTGTTTTAAATATAATGTTGTTTCGTGTTCTTGTCTTACGGACAATGCTTATTTTGCTTTTATTATACGTTTTTCTTAATATTCTTGTACGTTTGCAACGCTGCATGAAATAAATAAGTAATTGCATTAAATAAAAAAAGTAATTGCACTGATGAAGGCCCGGGTAAACGGACAAAATGCTTTGCATGGTATTAAATGCATGTGCATGATGCACTTACCAGTTAATAATACTTAATTATCATTTTTTTACTAGAATATTTTTACTTGTTTTAAACCATTTTTTTTTGTTTTCATTTATGATGCTACTATATGCCAGAAAAAAATTGCGGGATTTTTTTCAAAACCTCCGTCTTCGATTTAGAAAGCCAATTCATGCAACACAAAATTGCTGCTTTAAACTGAAATTTCAATTTACCTACAATGACACAAGACAGTTCGAAACTACAAAAAAGGACAAGATTTGTTTTCTGTCATATATTATTGCCAACGTGCAACTGGCGCTAATTCTCATGATAGAGGGCTGCTTTTTAAATCTCCCTGTGGTTCAAATTAAATCAGTAATCTTTCCTAATTTTCCCACTTTTTATCTCACGTTTTTAGCTTTCTTTTTGGCGAAATATACAGGACATTTATGAAGTGATTTACTCGCCTTTTTCCATACATAGATATAAGAAAATCCCACTAATTATTAAAATCAGGGGAAAAGTTATAACTTCAAAAGGAAATGCCACAATATTGCAACCTTATTAACCCATGGTATTGATTTTGCTTTTCTGGCCGTTGAAGGTCAGAGCACGAAATTAAATACCCCCTTGAAGCTAAATGAAGCGCTTTGAATTTAGGCCTGTACAGACATGCCTTACTGTGTTAATTGCAAACATACACACGTAATAATGTGTGTTTCATATCTATAGAAATGGAGGCTAGTTTTGCGTTTTAAATCTTGGTAGGGTAATCTAGAGCAAAATTTGTACACCAAACTCTGAAACTCATTGTAAACCACTTATAATTACCCTGTCAACAGTCTTGCCAGGCATATGCCGACAACCGCAGTTGTTTAAGTAAATTGGCTTGACCCATTGACCTTTTTATATTTGGGCTTTGGGAATTGGTTTCCTTTTTAAAATTGATCTTCTAGAATCGCAAATTAAGCATTATAAATTATCATGTCATTCATTATTAGGGTGTTTGAGCCTTACATGCACAATGATCACGGGTATCTTTTTCGTAATGTTTCATTTTGTCAGAATACTGAATATATAGAAACAAATACATCGATGATTATACAGTCAAATATCAAATTGAATAGCTAAATCGTTTATGTAAGTTGTACATGCAAATACACTCGTTGCAAAGGCGAAACGTAGAAACTGAAAACGTCTTAAACTCGAATTCATGTTATTGATATGAAATTTTATCTACGCGTGCATGATTTCATAAAATGTCACTACGACTACGTGCATATAATTCTACTATTCCCGATCAAATAGGTTAAGAGAATATAGCATTGTAATCCTAACATTAACAATGCGGCTGAGCCGGACATGCCAGTGAAGTGGAATAAGTAAAAATTTTTTTTATAAATTTCATTTTCTTCGGCTTAAGTTATTCGGAAATCATCAGTCTCGAGGAATATATTGATATACTATTGGCCGATGGCAAAACATGCACTGAGGCGTCGTGTCATTTCAGACGTCAAACTATGCTGAATCGAATGCAAATTAACAAAGATTTTAGCTCATTAACATTAGGTTCGGCACATATGAAAAGTTCGACGTCTGAAACACTCCAAGCAAAAGGTTACCAAGTATCAAGTGTCACGTTTTGCTGCACGGGATTTCATACTATTTCATAATACATTCGGGCGATAAAAAATGGATTTTTTTTTTCATAAATCCTATTATTCTCAGATTTTCATCTAGTCATCTACACAACATTTTTAAGAAAATTCACTCGATTTAAGACACTTCAAAATATTTCAATAATTTCTTGTCGCTGACACTATATTTTTAAAGTTTAAAAAGAACCCGTAATTTTCATGACTAAAAGTTGCAATTACTTGCCCGCTGCACTTAACGCTTGTGCGCTACTTAAGTTAAGGGCAACTCTCTCTGGTTTCAAACACATTCCGTCCTCCATAATTTTACAACTCAAACATTTTCAGGACGACATTGCTCTATACGGACGCAAAATTGCAATGGTTTGAATATTTGGTATATATGCCAAATCATACCCAAAACACGAAGGAGCAAATATCGCTCGCAATAGCCGTATATGATTTGATACTTTGGCGCACGAATGCCATTAGTAATTATTAATCATAGACAAAACATGATGGAAGTCAAACTTACCGGCACTATTGCGTATAAAAAGAATCGTCGTCAAAAGCACAAAGAAAATAAAAAATGGAACAAAATCCATAGATAGCTACCCCGAACGTCCAATCGTATTAATGTATATATGAGCGATTAGAAGAAGACGTCGCGTACTTTAAACCTATCGGCTATCTGTAACGACGCATTCGACCCCTAAGGATATATAATCTGGAGGTCTACAGCAGCTATTTCAATCTTAAATAAATAGCGGCTCATGTTTTACTCAGCATGTGAGTCGTTTGTCTCATGCAGCCTCGTAACATATTCACGATTTCCCCCATATTAACAAGTTCGCCTTGCCCGCGGTTACATATTTTCCTACTTCGCTGGGAAACTTGTAAAGGCAGCAAAATTACCACAAAAAGTTAAAAAAATTAAGCAAAAATTATTTCGAGGTAAAGAACCGAATTTTGAAGAACGGTTTTTTGTTTTATTTTAATCGCGGATCTTGAACAATGCTTTATTTGATTCGCCTCAAAATGTTTGAGATGTATTTATATTATATCCGATATGTCCTACTCGTTTTCGTAACTTCACTCGATGTAGGATTGTAATGGAGACATGACACCGGCGTCGCAGAGACGTATAGGTTCGGTTCCTGTCGAATGACCGATAGTTGATGCATTTTCCCAACTACTCCTGGCTTGAGTTTGACGTGTGTACGACTTCCCTCGAAATTAAGACCCTTACCTTAAACCGGCTTATCCTATATTAAACTAAATTATTCCATATGGAGTTAATTGCCACAAAACTTCTCCCGTGCAGAATAATCCCCCCCCCCTATTCACAGGCATTACCACCAATATGAATGGCACATGAAGGGAGACTCTCTTTCCTGGGTGCGAAGCTTGCTGACAAGAAGGGTCGTCATTCTCCATCTACGGTGCTTAGCTGGCCCACGACGAAAGATTGCCTTTGTTTGTTTCGAGCTCGTTTGTTTTAAAGTTTTTGTAAATAGTCTGTAAATGAATGGCACATCAACTGCGCTTGCTCTGGTGATTCCCTGCTTGTGTTGCTCAGTGGCAAGGGCCTACCAAACGCTTAGGTTCGATTCCTGCATGAGGACTGATAGTTAATACGTTTTTATCACTAGCCCAGCTTAAAAAATCCAACCTCAAATAAGACGAACGAAACTATATTTGCGTATAAAGATGCATTAGTGAAAGACAGTTTGTCAAAAACTTTGTCGCCAGTCTGTCGATACGCGGATCGATTTGTTTATCGGAGTTTTACTAGAATACACTGTCGGATTATCAGACGGATTAACAAAATTTCTTTTCTTTGTACAAGATCTTAACTCAAGTCATTTATAAAAGATGTCTGAAAAAATTAACATCCATCTAATCGTGCCTTACCAGACGACGTATATTATGCCCGAAGCCTGCACAGATCGCCGGGCGAGGGTACTATGCTAATCCGCCCAGAGATTAGGAATTGCACCCGGAAATGCAATGCGAAATTGAAGTTGTCGGCCATTATGTCATGGACGTTCGGCGTTTTGGTCAGTTACGCGGATGCGCGAATTAGAAAAGAGGTAACTAGCAAACTTGCGATTAGCTAAATCGAAAATTAGGTTTGCGTCAACATAACAGCCTTTTCAGTAAAACTTTGAAATTATATTTTCCATCGTTCTTCGGAACATATACAGAAAAAAAATAGGACAGAGAAAATATAATTCAAATAAATTACCCTCGAGCCGTTGCAGAGCACTAGTCCTCTCGGATAGTTACACCCACGACGTGCAAATGCGAAACCAAAGTCACCCGGCATTATGGACCTCACGCCATGGACGGTCATTTACGCTATGCGCATAGCGCCAGTGCAACCTCGTACCCAGGGTCTTTACTCGTGGTGGTGGGGAGTACTCCCCACCACCACGAGTAAAGACCCTGGGTACGAGGTTGAGCGCCAGTGTTAACTACTTTTGCGCCAGTGTGAACTACGCATGCGCCAGTGTGAACTAGACAAAAAATTGTATTTTCCAACGTAAACGCATAACTGTAATTTCGCAAAATTTAGATGAAATTTGGATGAAATTTATAGATTTATATTTTCATAAATACGGAATATCTATATTTTTAACTACATTAGAGGGAAACTCGAATGTGGACAGGACTTTTTACGGTTTAACAAATAACAAGAACAAATTTTCGACAAAATTCACCGTGTTTAATCATAGGTATAAGGTATGATGAACTCGGAAGATAATATTTTACCCGGCACAGCTTTACTAGTTAATATTATTTTGTGGTGAATACAACTTTAATATTCTCAAATGTATTTCACTATAAATCGTGGCGTGAAATGATTTGGAACAAAAATGATTAGGAACAAAACAAGCACATGCATTGACACTTCCCGAATTTGCTTGAGTGAACACAGAACAATAGTTTGGAAACGAGGCGGACAGTATAATCTATTGTTAGCGGGCTGGTTTTCATTGCCCGAAAATTCCCGAGTTTATTATTGAGTTGATTATACACGTCTACCAGCATCATGTCATTTACTCATTTCAATACTCCAAATGGTTTCATTATATCCCAGGTAACCGGGCTCATGTGAACAGCCCTTTATAAGAGGATCCGAAATACTATACACTATATAGGTAAGTTATTCTTGAGGGAAAAAAGAGTTGCAGGAATTTGTAGTTACCATACTTTTGCGAAAACCTGACACACCCGGCGATAACATCACGATACCTATCCAAATTTTAAAGACTAAAATGATGAAATTGCTTTCTGATTATTGAGATTTTTTGCGTATGTGGCTGAACTAGAACAATTAAAGTTAGTACAATGATAAACGTTGCCGGCAAGCCAATATAAACCTTCTTTACAGTGGCGTACGAGACACGATAATTAGGGGGGGAGGAGCACATATTCATTCATATATTCATGTTAACAAAGCTGTAAAGACAATCGATTTGAAAAGAAATTAATCTTGCACAACATGAATATATGCATGAATATGTGAAACCAATTGTGTCTCGTACGCCACTGACGATTTATCTCACAAATCTGTCGTAGTGAACCGCCTGTGCAATTATGTTGGGTTCGTTTGCTGATAGTTAGTACTTGAATACCAGATTCAGTCCAATACGTTCGCTAAATGGTCAGGAAAATTGAAATTTGCGCTGTAGGTAAAAAAAAACCGGAAATTAAATTCATCACATGCATGTGAAATGCATGATGTATAGATCCATTTGCTAACAAAAATTGCATGTTTAATGTAAAACGTCACAAAGAAGCGAACTTCGTTGAGGAAACTTAATCTCGCTTAAATTTTATAAAATGTTAGTATTGACAATAAGTTGTTTAAAACTGTTTTCTTCAACATGTAAGTATCTACAACATCCGCAGTATCTGCAACATTTTTCAACGTGTAAGCACCTGCATAGATCCGTGGTCTTCACTTTTGCCTGTTTCAACATCCTTGGGGTATTTAATTTCATCCATACGCCAGTGCAGGCGCGATTGCCGGTGATCAGGATTTTTCGTGTGTTTGACAAAATCTACGAAAGAACATAGTTAGTTGATCATATATAAGCGGAACAGATGTTCAATTATTTAGCAACCCGGCGATATCGCGTTATATATATTCTAGCCAATCAATGCTCAAAGTCTCAGATGGGTTGTCGAAATAGAAATATTCAATACTGTATTATATGACCATATGCGCATTGGTTTGCACATTAGCTGCACGAGAGAACTGTTTGGTTTGAAAATGAAACAACGGTTTCAATTCCTCGTGCAATATTAGGACAGCTGCAGCCTGCATGTTTCATCCTGAACAGCTATCACTCAATCAAAGATAATGGGGTCTCTCATTGTAGATGAAAATGTTGAACAGACCACCCGCTGTTTTTATGCACCATCCTTCGCATGTTGAGACGTTTTTTCGCAACTGACAAATACAGAAAGGTAAAAAATACCACTGACAAGTCATAGCAATGGCATGCAGTGCAGCGGAGCAGATTACACTGCAGCCAAGATCAAAAGATGTTAGAAACTTTAAACTTAGTCTTGTCTTCAGACTTCAGGTATTGCAATTTGCAATTGCATGAAATCATTTGAATGCATGCGTTGAGGAAAATGTCACTGTTTAATGGATTTACGTACATCTTGGCAGCTAATACATATACACAGCATCAAACTGATGTAAATACACCGTGCTCTGAGATTCTCAGATATACTTATTTGGAAATATTCTTTAATATGATGATGCATTCCTCGTTTGCAATTGCCACCGCAAAAATTACATGTTATCAATGAATAAGAAGCACTGGTCTGATATAACAGTGGCTTCGGCAAGGTAAGGAAGGGCGGCTGCTGCCCCACCCTTCCCTCCTGACACTCCATTCCCCAATTATGTCTATACAACAGGTTTCGTGTTTTACTCCTTCACAAATATATTTCTAAAGACATGTGTTTTACAAAGCTGATGGAAATATTACAATTATTATAGCTATGTCTACAATTATTTTCCCGCTGTTTTTCTTCTAGGGTTTGCTGAGACGCGGGAGTTTATGTGGCTGGTTATTCTTGATACACTGTCGAACTTGAATCAATTCGGGATCGCATTTCGAGCCTTTTTAGATTTCTTCGGTGGTCATGGTGGTAGGTGTCAGCTGTTCAGCGAGGTGATAAACGTATCGATCAGGGCAGCTATCCATGTTACTTCTCGGGGTTGTGTTGGGTAATCGTAAAAGTTTATCTGGGAGGTTTTGTGGACCATGCATGCAGACCGGTATATACTACGGTGAGTTCATACTCTTGTGGTTTGAGTACCCAATTTTCCACTCGTGCTGGCGTTGCTTTTCTCGATGACTTGGGCTTAAAGATGCACTCAAGTGGGCGGCGGGCGGTTTCCATTTCGAACGATCTTCTATATAGATATAGGTGAAAGTGTTCGCATCCGAATACGATAGCCAATGCTCGATTTGAGAATACTTCATTTCGGTTTCGTTAAACGAATGACTTTGGAATGTGATGGGACGGAAGGTTGATGAAGCATTGCGCCAACAGTCCATGGTGAAGCAGCTACGGCTACTCGGGTTGGAGCTGAGAATGAATAACGAGCTAGAATTAGTCAACCTTTAATTTTAGGAAGCTGGCTTGTTGTTCTTCTCCCCAATGGAAC